CCTGAGTAGCTGGGATTACAGGCACGCGCCACCATGCCCAGCTAATTTTTTGTATTTTTAGTAGAGACGGGGTTTCACCATGTTGACCAGGATGGTCTCGATCTCTTGACCTCGTAATCCACCCGCCTCGGCCTCCCAAAGTGCTGGGATTACAGGCTTGAGCCACCGCGCCCGGCCCTGACTCTTTTAAATTTGCTTTAATTTTTAAAACTTTTTTGAGTCAAGTTCTCTGTTGCCCAGGCTGGAGTGCAGTTGCACGATCTCTGCCCATTGCAGCCTCAACTTCCCTGATTTAGCCTCCTGAGTAGCTGGAACCACAGACGTGCAGTATCATGCCCGGTTAAATTTTATGGTGTTTTTTGTTTGTTTTAGTAGAGGCAGTGTTTCATCATGTTTTCCAGGCTGGTCTCAAACTTCTGGGCTCAAGCCATCTTCCAGCGTTGGCCTCCCAAAGTGCTGAGCTTATAGGTGTGAGCCACCACACCTGGCCCTGGGGCTCTTTAAGTGGTGTTTTTTCAGACATTTGATCTGGGAATTTTGAAGAAACCTTAAAGCCAAAGTCCTAAATCCATGACACGTTGTATGGAGGTATTCCCATTTCAGTGAACATATGTAATACACTTGGAAGGTTAACCCTGGATTTTGTGCCTGGAGGCAAAATCCTTAGAGGTAAAGCTGATCATGGCCGGGTGTGGTGGCAGGTGCCTGTAATCCCAGCTACTCGGGAGGCTGAGGCAGGAGAATTGCTTGAACCTGGGAGGCGGAGGTTGCAGTGTGCCGAGATCACTCCATTGCACTCCAGCCCGGGAGACAAAAGCAAAACTCCCTCTTAAAAAAAAAAAAAAAGAAAAAACAACAACTGATCAGAGCAGGGAGTTGATGTTAACTGTAGTTCTTTTTGGCTCCACATTGGAGAACAGAATGTGGAGTTAAGGGAGGAAGAAGGAAGATCAAAGTTGAGTCTGGTTCCATAATCCAGGTGAGGGTTAATGGACAATTTATGGCTAAGAAGATGTAGGTGGATTTGCTATTCATTTTGGAAAGGGAAAGCTAGATTTTCTAATATGATGGTAAAGGTATGAAAGAGAGGTTTCGGGTATATGACGCCACAGGTTTTGGTCTTAGCAGCAGTAGTGATAGAAACTGTATCAGCTGAGATGAGCAAGTTGGGAGTAGGCATAATATTCACTGGGTTTCAGAGACCGGTAGGTAGGGACAATAATTGAGTAATGTCCGCATAGGTTGGGATATCTGGAAATGAACTGATATTGGGGGCATCCAATATATAGAAGTGTATGTGTGGACTAAGGTGAGTTAGCTATGGGTGACGTTTAGGAGGGCACATTTCAGATTAAGGTGGTAAATCGTTTAGTGGGCCAGGAAGCAGTGGTTGTAGACTGAAGACTGGATGGATGTCTTGCTTGGATCCCAAGCTCATATGATTGACATTTATAAACATAGAAGAGGGAGATAAGTGACAAGGTAGGATGCTTCTGACAGCATAGGAACATGGACTTCCATGGAGACAGTAAACATGAAATGCGGCCGGGCGCGGTGGCTCAAGCCTGTAATCCCAGCACTTTGGGAGGCCGAGGCGGGTGGATCACAAGGTCAAGAGATCAAGACCATCCTGGTCAACATGGTGAAACCCCGT